TATATAATTGAATTAAAAAAAAAATTACATCAACCAACATAAAATATTCATATTAAAACTGTGATAGTCAATTATAATGCATGTACATGAACAATATCTAGAACTTACAGTCCATATATGGAAAGGAGTTTGCAATTAGTATATTAGTAGTACATTACTTGTTGTCAAATTCACCTTCAAATAAGTGCTAGCTAGCATGAATTGAGGTTGAACGGGCCAATAAAAATATGACATCATGTATATATAAATAATCTCAATCATAAAATTTAAAGTACTTTTAAGAGCTTTAAAGAATCACAAGTAGATCATTCTTTGTATAAATTAGGCCGCGAACATTAATCATATACTCATCATAGTATTGAATGATTTTAACAATATCAAGAAGGCTCAAGTAATTACTAAATTTGAAACCTAAAAATATACTCGAAAACATATACAAAAGCTACTTCAAGCAAAATAGGAAACTAAGATCATATATATATAGTTTAAACAATCTACGCAAGCATTACTAAATATTGACTTCTAATTAATAGATCTAACGAATGTATAGAGTATATGGACTTATAAAATATGACAAAATAAATTAGTATCAACAGATTAACCAAAAGTACAATGTATATAGCTTAGACGAATGTTAGTGCAAATATAATCCCCTTGCACCCAATACAATATATCTTAGAATTCTACCAACAGACAACTCTTTACACCAACCATTATCATCATCCACAACAAAAGTAAGCCACTTAGATTTTAAATTTTTTTTTTTCATTATTGAATTCATGAGAAACAAAAATGATAATATAAAAACCATTAACTAAAACAATTCGATCAATCAAATTTAACCAAATCAATAACAGGTCCATGAACAATAATCTGTGAGTAAACCATATCATATCAATCATATAATAATCGATATACACCTTAGGTATGCCATAGAAAAAAAAAAAAAAAAAAACAAACAAACATAGTGATTAATTGCGGCAAAGAGACGCTGCGTAAAGTATTACCTAACTAATAAATTATAATCGTTAAAATCATTAAATTCTGGAAGATTTAATTAGTTTGTTATATGATACAATTATGTGTAATATATATAGATATACCAATACATAGCTGCATGCATAGTAGACAAGGCATAATAAAAATTAAGAATTCATACATAGGTGTTACAGACTATTATGATGAAAATAGAAACGATCGCAATTAAAACAAAATAAAGTCTACGTCAACAAAAACTCAAGCAGTAGTACTATTATAAATAATTCATTGGCAATTTACAGTAAACAATTATTTTATGCATTAAATGTAATCCATTAAAGCATATTATATTAAAAATATGATTACACTTTAAATAAATAAATAAATAAAATTAAATGGTGTCCTTGAATTTGGGGGACTCATATTACGAAGTATATATCATCAAGAATAATTGATGCATGACGAAATATATAAACGAATGTGCGACAATCGTGTTTATAATTATATAGCTTCAAAATTCATAATTTAGTAGAAATAGAATAGAAATATAGGGTACCTTTTCTATCAAAGGAATTGTAACTCGGCTATGGTTGCTCAATAGGCTAGGGCTTGGTGCTGAGAACGTGTTATGAAATTAAAGAGAAAGAGAAAGTAGAAGAGAGAATGGATCTATATATTTATTACACAATGATGTAAGAGTATATATATATAATTAGGGTTTCCTTGTAAAATAATAAACATAGTAATCTAGAATATCCTAGAATTATCATAAGGGTATAATGGGCATCCACTAAATACATGTATTATATAACATATTTTTGATTTTAAAATAAAAAAAAAAAAAAACATGTTGAAACGCTGTCTGAGGCAGCGTTTATACTCTTGATGATTTTTTTTTTAAATTTGTAATTTTAAAAAAATAATTGTTAATGAAACGCTGAATGAGGTCGCGTTTCTAAGCCTGAGTTGCATGGATTTGGTATTTGATATGCATGATAAGATAAACATGGGTTATAAGATAAATTTGGTATTTAATATGCATGATAAGGATAACACGGTTCAAGTAGCACTACTTAGTATATTGATAAACATGCAAATAGATAAACATGCATGCTATAGCGTAGCCGTAGGTTTCGGTATTTGAGGATAGCCATAGTTGACGGTTTTTTCTTGATATTTTCTTCTTGATATATATGTACTGCATACACATTAATGAAACACAAGTGGATAATAGCATGTTTAACCAATATTAAGGACTTACCACCGTTTTCTGTTGGTCTCCCGGATGGCAAGAATGCGGTGGCAGTGAAAGAGGATGACGTTAACCTTACAAAAACAATCACCCTCAAAAATGTTCTTTTTGTCCCTAAATTAAATTGCAATTTAATTTCGCAATTAAGAGATGATTTAAATTGCTATGTCATAACTAACTCATGGGTATCCTAATCCCTATTATAAGATTTGAATTAAAAATATAATATATGTACCCATAAAAGATAATAAAATTAATCACACAACACTTGCATTTTGGTTTTTAATTTGGCTCTTTAAAATGGATTCTTAGTTGAATAAAACTTAAAATCGCCAAGAAAAAAAGGAGGAATAAAAAAGTAAAAGAGAAAAAGTTTTAATTCTTATAGTTTTAATTTTAATATTATTTTTGTAATGTTAATGGCTTTGCATGCAAATTAAAGAACAAAGAAGTTATTTAACTGCCAGACACTCCCTATATATATCATTTACCAAAGCTTAGACTTTTTTTTTACCAACATACGTGAAAATCCATGCAACTCAGGCCTAGAAACGCTGCCTCAGTCAGCATTTCATTAACAATTATTTTTTTAAAAAAAATAATTACGAATTTAAAAAAAAAGTCATCAAGAGTATAAGCGCGGCCTCAGACAGTGTTTCATTAAAATATATTGTTTTTTATTTTAAAATCAGAAATATATGTTTTTAAACGCTATTCCAGACAACGTTTTACACATTGAATTTTTTTTAAAAAAACCAGGGTATAAAACGTTGTCCGAGACTGCGTTTTACCCTGAAAGCTTAGTTTGGTGGTAAATAGTTTGGCCACGAGTCTATTTTAAAAATTTGTTTTGTAATTAAGCTTAGTTTGGTTAATTATCCTTAAAATCGAGCCTTATATAATACGGAGTACTACTCTATCAAAAAAAAAAAAAAAAAAAAAAAGGAGAGAGAAGCAGCAGCAGCTACATACCATGTACTACGTATGTACTAATCAAGGATTCAACACAAGTACAGTAGCTATTTACTACAGGTCTACAGTACATACTCAAAAGACGAAGTTAGAAAATTGTATTGAAGGGGGCCAACGAAGCTATAAGTCATCTGACTCAAATTCAAAACATTAAACACAAAAAAACCAAAATTGGTAGGTAGTATGAAATCATAATTAAAAAGTTTAAATATTATACCTATTGATTAAAGATATAATGCAAGTCCACATTCTCAACTCTGGACCTATAGAGGCATGATAAAATTACCAAGGACTGGCCGCGGTGATCCGACTAATTTCCCACAAGGCCACTGCAGATGCAAAAACTCCGATGTGCAATATTTAGACCCACCATGCACAAACATTGGTTCAGCATTGGATAGCTTGACCATACCAAATGACGACGAATAAAGCAACATAACATATGGAATGTACCTCACTTGGTGGTCATTCAGATTCAACCAACATTCATCAGTTGAAAGTGAGGCTTAGTTGGGGCCTTGGGGTGGGGAGAGAAGGGAGTACAACCAACACTTCCACCAAATTTAATCCTGCACTGGATGATCATTGTTTCCTTACAAAATTTGCAAATAATCCAGAGACATTTGCAAATAAAATTAATCGCTTCACATATATTACCTAGAAAAGTTACAGAAACCTATCCTGCTGTAATTAGAGGAAGCAGGAAAACAATGCTCCAGGATTGAAATCTACTCGTCTGCAAGGATCTTTTCTATCACAAAACTTCTTTCCCAGATAAGGGCTCAAAGGACACGCACAAAGGTCGTTCATCTAACAAAAGCCAAAGCCTTTGTTTTAATGAACTCAATTACTCAGCAACATTAAGCACTAGTTAACTAGCATTATTGCCAGTTTTTGGATTAAGCTTCCAAATACTTGGTATACTAGCTTCAACAATGTTTCAAATTTTGCACTGAATGAACAGTACAACGTATTTACTTCGATTACTACAGTGTCAGAATCAGTTAGCAGGGCAAGGCAGAAGAAAGAGAGAGGGGGGAGACTCATAAAGAGACAATCAACAGATGTCATGGATGATGAATTTATTGTCATTCTAGTATCAACAGAGACTCACAATTTTAAGGGTGAAAGTTTTAATAAGAAGATGAAAACAGTTATCTGAATTCATCAGTTTTTCTTGCCTTTTCCTTTTTCTTGCTGCAATTGTTAATGATAAATAAAGTACGCTTACAAAAATTAGCAGCAATAAAATTTCATCAGCAGTAGCCACTTAAGTAATGCTGAAAATAAATTATTCTTTGATAACTATGTCTGTACTGTTAAATATTCTGTAGTTAATCCCAAGTTTCATATTTTGACCAGAAAGTACAGTTCAAGACTTTAAGTTTACGCTAATGAACGCGAATAAGACGTTTATAGTTATCTAAATTAGCAAATGTGGGTCCAAATTGAACCATGTAACTAACATGATTGATTATGTAGCACAAAGGCTATCAGACAGAAAGAAAAAAATCGAAAACACAGCAGGGCCCAATTGGTTTTGGTTATATATAAAAAGCAAGTTACTCAATTACAACTCCTCCTGCACTAAAAGAAATGTGTTTGATGATTATGTCTTAACCACTTGGAAAGTGAAAGGCAGTAACTTCACAGTTTACACTCACAAAAATGCATGGGATTCCTAACACAAATCAACCCCTAATCATGGCTTTCTAGATAAAAGTCAAATTACAATGAGATTACTACTTAAGAAGTGCAATAGAAACAGTGCTAATGAGCAAAGTAGAAGTTATGGGTGGAAATTAAGGAGGATTTTCGACTTTTTTCGATTTCCTTGTGTTATTATCTACAGAAGATGACTACATTGAAAAATGTCATACACAATAACAGTTCATTCTATTGTCAATTAAATGAAACTCGACATTAGATTAAAAAGAAATCGAGCTACAATTTAAGCAAAACTCACCGAGCCTTCTTCCTTGACTTGAAGGGAAATTTTGAAGGCGGTGATGGAGAAAATTCAAACGGTAAATGGGGTGGCTCGGCCTCCCCGGTTAACATTTCAACTATCTCTTTCATGTTAGGCCGTTTACAGGGTGATCTCTGTAAACAGAGGAGTGCGATTGTGATACATAGCATTGCTTGGTCTTTATCCAATGACTGTATTGAAGAGTCTACAAGGTCTAATAGCTTGCCATTGTAAGCCAACTGCCTAGCCCATGAAACCAAATTTGCCCTTTCGAATTCTGACATCGGAGAAGCCAATACTTGCAATGGTCGGCGGCCTGAAATAATGACCAATACCAAAACACCAAAACTATACACATCACACTTTTCTGATAACTGTCCACCTCCACCATACTCAGGAGCAATATAACACACTGTCCCTCTCATACTAGGCGTGCTACTAATCCCACCACTTTTAGGTATTTCCCCACTAGCCCAATCTTGACTATGTTTCCGGCCACCACGAAGCTCGCCACTCAAACCATCTAACCACCAATCAATACTCCCTAAGCTACCCCTACTCTTCCTCCTTTTCTTCCTCTCAGGAGCAACAAAATCCTCATCCCTTTGCCACCACAATTCACTTCCACTACTTGATTTAATCCCCGTCTTCTTCTTCTTGCTATTACATTTACTCTTCTTAGTCAATTCCTCACAAAACTCCTCCTTCCACCACTCCCTTGGCCTCCTACTCTTCTCCCTCTTCCTCCTAAACTTATCCTCATCCATCGAAACCCGCCACCAATCCAACCTCTTCTTCTTCACCTTCTTCCCCTCAACTTTCTCCCCACTAACATTCACATCACCACTACCATTACAACCTAAACCAGCAACAATCCCTATCCCTCCTCCAATCAAATCAGAACTCTTAGGCCTCTCTTTCTTAATCTCACTCCCAATCCACTCCATCACATAATCCTTCACTCGCCCTGACTCCGATCCACCAACACCGCCATTACCTCCCCCGCCACCATTATCCTGTTTCCACCACCAATAATCCCTCCCTGACCCCCCACCACCACCACCACCATTCTTCTTCTTCCCCCCTATCTTCCCACTCTCAACACTCATCTTATCCACCAAACTCTCGGGCAAACTACTCGCTCTTTCGAACCCATCCGATGGCGACGCCATCACATTACTCCCCACCGTAGCCGGCGACAACTCCACCTCCACCGTCGTAACCACACTCTCCGTCTCAACAATCGACCCAATTTCCTCCTCCAATTTCACCACCTTATTACCCTCATCATCATCATTACCCTCACAACCATCATCATCAATCTCAACCAAAACCCTAAAATCATCCTCTCTCTCTTTCTCAACCCCATCTAAAATCGTAGCTAACCCAAAATCCCCCAATTTCGCATTGAAATCTTCATCCAACAACACATTACTAGGTTTAACATCACCATGAACAACAGCAGTTGGTCCACAATTATAATGCAAATAATACAAAGCTCTAGCAACATCAAGTATTACCTTATACCGTTTCTCCCAAATCGAAAGTTCTACACACTTACTATCTAGAAGCTTCTCCTGCAAGCTTCCATTCACCATTAATTCATACACCAGAAGCTTCCTCTCTCCTCCACCACCACCACCGCCATTTTCTCCGGTGAGAACTCGCCGTCTTCCGCCGCCGCAAGAGTAACCCAGAACTTGAACCAGAAACGGCGATCCAACAGTGGAGATTACACGATTCGCGAAAGAAATCTCGTTGTGAAACTCACGTTCACCTTGGATAGTTCCAGAAGTTTCCATAACTTTCACAGCGACATTCTCGCCGGAGTTTGGGAGTGTAGCACGGTAGACGGAACCAAATCCACCTTGTCCGAGACGATGAGAGAGAGAGAAAGAGGAGCTTGATTTTCTGAGGAGAGCGAAAGAGAATCGCCGGAGCTCCGGCGGAGTTTCTCGCCGGCGGTGAGCTTCTCTCTCCTCATCGAACGGCGTCGTACGGCGGCTTAGAGTGAGTTTCCGGTAAAGGATAACGATGACAACAACGACGGTGAAAACGACGGCGCCGGCGACGGCGAGGATTGGGATAAAGTGACGGGAGATAGCATGGTGAGGCGGTGAAGGTTGCCGGGATGGCATAGTTGTAAATAAAACGAAGTTTTAGGGTAGAAGTTAAAGATGAAATCGGAGTAGAATCATCGGAAGTTTGAGGTAGAGAGTGAAAGTGAGTAATTTTGAAGAGAGAGAAAGATTAAAGTGACGGGAGTAGGAGGGTTGAGAAATGGTGACAGACGGAAGAAGTTATTGTTACGTTGTGTTTGGCATTGGATTCTAGCTTTATTATTTTGCGGGAAGGTGGTAATGGTGGTGGTGGAGTATTTAATGTGATTTTTGGAAGGTTTTGACTTGATTTTTTTTGTTTTTTGAAAAATAAAAACAAGTGATTTTTATAGAATATTTTTTGAAAAGTGGGTGAATCAAACACTATAATGACTATATTTTGAAATAGAATTGACTATTAACTGAATATATTGTTCTTTATTTTGTCTATTACCTAATTTTTGGAATTTTGGTTGGTTTTTTATGGACAAATTTAGAAAATGGATTTTTTGATACAATTCAACATGTAATAAATATAAGAGAGATTTTATTCCATCTATTCCTTATAATAAAATACAAAGTATAGTGTAACAAAATCTTGCATTACAAAGGATTTTATTTCCTAAAAAATAATCAAGTCTACCATTAGTATAATATGCCAACCATAATTTACAATAATTAGATAGAATAATGATCTTGTGGTGGCATGAAACACCACACATTACTACATCAGGTCATATTTATGCATGCTTACTTTCCCCAAGTTAACAAATTCGTCTATTAAAGATTATTCTCTTACGGTCTGAAAGTATGGAATATTATTAATACTTCATATTGAGGTGGAAATTAAGCATTGATTTGGTTGACAATAATATAAAAAAAGTTGAGATTTCTAACAAAACTTGTTTGATATGCACTAATAATCTCTCGAGCTAATATGAGATTAATGATCAAATTGGAGTCTAACGCTAAGTTTAACCTAATTGTCTTATAAGCAAGATTAAATTGGTGATTGAATAATGATTAGGCTAGTATAGAATGGCACGCTCCAATGAGGTAGCAGAATTGCAGGTGGTAGACTTTTGAAAAATCACGTGATAAAACCTTTAAACAGGTCAAAACTGAACTATTCCAACACTATCTTTAGTTTGACAAAATCTACAAGACTTTTGATAATATTAAGGCATATAACGCGCTCCAAGTATCGCGTGAAAAAACGTGCTTTGTAGTTTAGCATTTGTCTTATTAGTTTTTGGTGTTATAAGATGATTGTGAAATATCAATGGAAATTGTGCCAACTTGCATGTGCCCAGTGGATGAAATTGCAAGCATAACTGCATAACCCATGAACTATGTTTGATTCAATTCATTTATATGAGATGCCATTTTAAATAAAAATATTAATGGTAAGTGTCCTATTAGGTTGAAATATATGCCTAAAATAGATTTCTTCAAAGGAAAGCTTTATTTTCATTGTAAAATACAAATTATTACCACTAATGTAAGCAACTAAGCAATACTTTTTGATAACTAGCTTAAGGAGTACATAATAACGGAGTATGAGTATATTATGTTTGACAAAAAAGATGTTACAGTTTTAATCACAACAGTTGCATGACCAAACTTATTAATATACATAAATTTTGTTTTTGATATGTGCGAGTATTTATTCACCTTAAACTTATATTTTTTCCTTGATTTTATTCACCTTAAACTTATATTTTTTCCTTGATTTTATTCACCTTTTGATGTTACAGTTTTAATCACAGCAGTTGAATGACAAAACTTATTAATTACATAAATTTTGTTCTTGATATATGCAAGTATTTAATCATCTTAAACTTATACTTTTTCCTTGATTTTATTCACCTTTTACTTTTTTAGGCTTTTTAAAAGTTATAAACCGAGTAAAAGCGAATGGATTGGGAGTTTTTTTTTTCCCTTACATTATACATAATTGATGAATTTAGAATGAAGAGAGACAAAAGGGTAACCATAAGTCCAAACTCATCATGTCAAAAATCATATGGATTTGGAAAAAAAACAAATTACAAAGAAAATGGGGACATTTTTTAAAAAGTAGAGTACAAAATTACAAATTATACAATATACGTATGAGAACACAAAAGTCAATTAATTTGTTGCAATTATTTACAAGTAAAACGGTAGTAAAATGACAAGAGCTATAAAAAAAAAATGGAAAAAACATAATAATAAGAATTTTGACTTGAGAAAAGATGCTAGTACTGCAGCAAAAACAAAAGTAAAAGGGGTGATGATGATGGACAAAAACTAGAGAATAGAGACAAGAAGGTCGAAAAGCAAAGATCCAAGAAACTACTACTACGTATTTGAAGATACATTGAATCCCTAAAAGACAATAATATGAGATTTATTTGATTCGTCTACACTCTACCCTATCTTTTTATCTTTTAGGATAATGTTTAAATGTCAACATACGGAGTACTCTCCTTTTATTTACACTAAACTTTCTCATTTCATAAGGAGTATTCCTTCCATCTTTTCAAGCGATACACTAGTTTAGTTTTAATGCAGAAATACGAAGAAAAAAATATATAGGGTTTATAGATAATGTGGTTAGAGAATTAAATTACTCATATTAAAAAGTAATACAATAGAATTAGAGAAAGAATAAATATTGTAAGATTGAATCGTTAAGAGAGAACTGATTCAACATGTAGTTAAAAACGAATTAATAAATATTGAAATACGAAAGTGCTCACTTAGATAAACGAATGTTTAAAGAAATTATGTCACTTAAAAAAAAAAGAGCGGTAAAAACAATCAGATAATTAAGAGTACTTATGAGATAACATGTACATTAGCAGGTTTGAAACTCTATTGTTAGTTTTTTTTACTGATTTTCTATTATATTAACAAATAAATGCGTGATGGTGTAGGCTGTGCAGCTCAATTATATACTCAAAACAAATATATGGAGTGAACAAAGTTAGAGTTAGAAAGAGGTACCCAGAAATAGTAGGAGTGGTCGAGTGGATGTAGAGCTCAGAAGTGTTCCAATTCGAACTGAACTTAGAAACAAAGGCCCTGACCACTAGGTAGGTAGGTGCATCTCACTATCTCAGACCATGCAAGCCCACATGTCTTGTAATAATCAAGCAGGAGTCTCATATCAATTTTTCGAGCTTATGCATAGCTTGATGTCGTATCATGCCGCCAGGCCGGACATTTGCGTGCCAACCCAGCCCATACCAAACACTAGTTACAACCATTATACTACGTATTTCCATTACTTTGAACCACTTCTATGTCCTGAGTCTGTGGTTATTAAGCTGTTGCAAATCCAATTGCCAGACATTTTAGCTCAACGATAACAATTCAGTTTAAAAGCTGATTAAAATCATTACTCTATGTTGTACTACAAAAATTCACCTTCAACACAATCTTATGCTAGAGCCAAGTATTAGTCTTGGAAAAATGTACTAGAGCAAATTTAGGAAGATCGGCCTAAAATCAGATGCCCATATTCAAGTCCACCAAAAGTTAAAACTTTGAATCATTTCATATTATACATATTATTGTTCATTTTTCATGCACCCAAACAGGCGGTGGAAAAAAAACAAACAAAAAGTATATGTTGAAGAAAGTTCTGTGCAACAAATGCTAAAAATTCCTATTAACATTTTTAAAAAACTATTACAAAAAAATTAGAAAGAAGCTAAAATACACTCTGGTCAAATTCACCTGAAAACTACTGATTCTATCTGCAAACAACTACTGGGATTTCATGCTACCGTTTTCCTGGCTCAAAGGTGTAGTTGAACCACTCCTCCTGCTAGCAGAATGCCCAGTAATTGTCCTCCCCATGAATCTCCCAGCTTTGCTTAGGCCACTTCCCACAGCTCCGAAACCTGAACCAACAAGACCAACGCCAGCTCCAACACCAGCTCCAACACCGCTTCCCACCATTCCGATCCCGGATCCAACAAACGATGCGGCTCCATCAAGTGCATCCACAGTGCTCCCAATGACACCTGCTTCCTTCATCTTCTTTTTCTCCTCAGCCATCATTTTCTCCGCTTCCAAGGCAGCTAATTGCTCTTCTTTGTTGAATGGATGATACATCACCTAAAGATAGATCAACAAATGTATCCTCGTTAATTGCCAGCAACTTCACATTTCCACATGTAAATCTTTAATAGTTTCTATACACCATAAGATATTGAAGCAGCTAGCACTTTCATCATCAATCATGCCATAAAGGATTGGTAGCTTAAATTATGAATAACTACTACCCTACAAGTCATGCATAACAGGGAAACATAAATTTCTAATGGGAGGATGGCCTGTGAGCGAACCAGGATTATAAATGTCTACAAACTTGGTGATATAGGGGAGAAAAAACAAAAAAGGTGATACCAAGAAGAGGACAATGGAAGTCTAGTATTAAAATTTAGAATTACTTTCGTACCCAGAGGACTAGACATACCAACTTATCATGTAACCCAACAATGTATCACTGAACAATTACTCAAAACACAATGGTAAAAGTCCTCTTGGCTGCCACACACGCCCCTGCACCCACCTGACCGCAACCAACCCCCCCCCCCCTCTCCAAAAAAAAAGGAAAAAAAAAAAAAAAAAAAAACCCTACATACAGAAGCTGCATCACGTCAACTGGGCAACGAAACTCACATATCTAAAAATAATAGAATCAGCACAAGTGTACATGCAAAAATCAACTGTCAGATTAAAGAACCATAAAGCATAAGATGAATTTTTCAAGTAAATTGTGGCACCTTGAGTGTAATAGTTCCTCTGTCCTTCTTATCTTTCACCTTAGTCATATCAAGTGACGGTGTCAATCTTAGTTCAACTTCTTTAAGACTATCAGGTTCCAGATCAAAGAGAGGCAATTTTGTAATGCCAAGTTTCTTGTCCTGCCCAATATCCTTGTCAAATACCTGCATGAGGAAACAAATCACTCCCCATTCAATCAAAAGACTGGTATGCCTGCCTGAATTTCGCTTCTTCAATTTATAGCAATTGTCAAATCCTTTTACAAAGTTGAGAATCTACCTTTCAGCCAGATTGACTAAAACCAAACATCTTATTACAGTTTTTTAGATGCTAATCGCATATAACATGTTGCCCTATCTAAATGCACATGGTGTCTAGACCAATGTCCAATTACATTATTACACTAATGAATATTACAAACCAATACAAAGTTCATACTTCAAAACATAAATGCGACCAACACCTAAAATAGGACCCAAGAGCAAGTACCATGGAATGACAAAAGGCTGCCAAAACATGATGTACCATTGTACAACACTTAAATGTCACTGAAAGTTGTCGAATGTGCAAGCACACTCTACGATTCATACATATAGATTATTGAAAACACATGCTAGTAGATTGGTAGAAGCTACACCTGTCATGTAGATCTACCTGCAACTAGGTAAAACAACAATGTCTTGTGCTTTTAATATGTAATAATGTGCCTTTTTTATTTTAATATTATGTGCTTTGATTACACGGAATTGGATCGTAAGGGATGGAGGAGGAAGATTTTTGTCGATGACTACATGGAATAATCAAATTTAGTTCATGTAGCCGACCCCATTTATGGGATTAAGGCTTTATTTGATTAATTTGATTATGATGTTCATGTTTTTTATACTATCATCAATTTCCAATTATTGTCTATGTGCTTTTATTTACTATCAATGTGCTTCTATAATAATGTTTATGCATTTATCTTAATGTTTTATGCTTTTTTTTCAGTACGTTTGTGCTTTTTTTTTACAGGAAAACTACTTGAACTAACCCGGTTGAATGTAGAACTACATGTAGCCGGGTGTATGTTATGATTTGCAGGTTCCCAGAGCCTCTTGAGGTTTTGAGAAATAAAATCACAAAACAGTGAATCGTTACTATTTGTCAATATTTAAACTCAATGGTATACCTCAGCTAGAGTTAGCTACAGTTTTATATGGGGTAGTAGCACAAGGAAAGCAGAATGACTAAAAACTCACAGAAAAAGAAAGTGGAGATGGAAGGAGGAAATTCAAACCTCAATGATAAGTGATTGTGTTTCCTTGTCCTCTGCAATCACTTCAAAAGTTTCATTCCAAACTGGATTGAGATTGTCTTCAACAACCTTTGTCTTAACCTTGAAAAGTGGACGTATATGCACAACTGTATAGGGATCTGACTTTCCAATTAATTCCTTGTTCTTCAAATCATTGGCTTTCACAACTGTCACGGTCAATTTGCCTTGGGGTTTAAGCTCCAATTCACTGCAGAGTAACCAGCAAACAAGATATAGCTTAACTAAAAGATAGTGAGAAAATTAGAGGGAGAGGAGCTAAGAGGCCCACAATTCAAGAAAATTCCTCAAAAATGTGAGAGGGAGATGTAGACTGGGAAAGTTGCATTACTCAATTGACAAAAGGCTGGTCTGAGAAGATGTCAACTATTTAAGGATAGTTTTTCATCAGAAGATTACGTCATAGAAGCAAACAAATTCCACAACATAAATATATATTGCACCACAACGAGAACCTATTTGATAGAGATGGGAAATGAAAGAAATCATAACAAGTAAAACCAATTATTTAGCTGAAAAAATTCAAGCTAGTTCTCATTATAATTCATAATATTCAACTGAGAATATACATAGATTAGCATATAGGTCCTGTTTACAAGTGAAAATGAGCTAGGAAAATAGGATACTTCCTATATCATAATCTTGGTAAAAAGAAACTAGATGATAAAGCACATACTAAAGCCTAATATAACTGATTAAAGCAAGATACCTAAATAAGTCCCCAGGCAATGAGGCCCACAACCCATGACCAATAAATTTTAAATTCGATCTTCAACAATTAAGGAGACACAGGACATAAAACCGATAACTAATTCAAAAAACAAAAATTTAAAATAGAATAACAAAATTCATAATGTTATAAGGGAATCCCAGCATGACTTACTGAGTTACACAAGGTTATTAAAAAATTAATAGATCTGAAAGAATATCTTCAAAGAAGATCAGAACTTGATATTTACCACAGATTGCATTCGCCAAACTGCCTACAAGCTACAACCCCTCCCTATCCACCCACAACTTATGCAACCAAAATTTAATCTTCAATTATTCACAAGGCAAGGGACTAGATCACATGTAAGGCTTCTATAAGAGTAAAATTTTCAAATTAGTAGAAATTTCAGATGAGAGGGTCTTTCTCAATTTAATCACTAAAAAATATAAAATGGATATTAAGGAATGATGTGACCCATAAGTCATTATATATAATGATTCTTAACTACCTTCAACATAATGACTTGTTTTGTAGCACATTCTGTCTCAGTTGACTCTCCTCCATGCTGGTTTCAATATCTCATGCTTATGCTTCTATCTCTTTCATCTCTTTACCATTTAAGCTTACAAGTTATATTAACCCTTAACACTCTTATCTATTCAAATATTCATAAACATTAACTACACAGCTCTAGTCAACAAGAACAAGCTAAGACACCAGAAACGGCTGTAGAGACAAGCACAACTATCCCAACTCTTTCTAACGTACTACAAGCCACGATTGACGGCACGGTGACAACTATAGATCTAACAGCATTAAAGGGGATGATTATCTGAATTAATAATGATCATCAGACACCAGCGCCCTCACAGTGTATAATTTATCAAAGTACACATGTACACAGATGGTAAGTAACAGATAAAGATTGAAATTCAAAAGAATTTTCACACCTACATCTTTAATTTAACTATTGCAGGGTCCCATCCACCATAAACTGAAACAAATCAGGACAATAGTAAATTTATTATTACCTTGTATCCACTGGAATACCACCAATTGGAACAACAATCCTGTGAGGCCATTGCAGTGTATCTGTTACAATTGTGTTCACTGTATCCTGCACAATTGTAAACAAAGAGCATATTCATATGTTCAAGCTACAATATCTTCAGGTTATAAACTAGGAGTTTGTATATACATAAGAATTATCAAAAGACCAGATGATAAAACTTGCTTACATCAATCATGTCAGAAATACCAGGTAGAGCTGTTAGACTCCCACCAACCGCTTTCAAAGTATAATCAATTCGAGGCTTTGGCTGGTCAAAATAAAGATGAGCATCATTCAAGTTACAACCCCCGTAAAAGAATCAGTAAAATAACTTCAACCTTCCATAAATTCCAAACAAGATCTACCGAAAAGGGAAAGAACAGGCAAATTTACATCTGAAAGTAGCGCAACAACAACAGCAGATATGCAGGGAATCTCTTCTGCCAGTTGGAAAATAACACGGACAACCGTAAAAACTTGAAGATCTTTGAACTGCAACCACAAACAAGTGATGGCCAAATGAGACAACATTTGGGAGTGTAGATGAATGAAATAAACTTTACGAACCAGGAGAAGAATACAGAAAATGGGGAGTGAGGAAGTACTCCTTTAAAAAAGGCACCAACTGACCTGAATAGGAATAGAAGCAACAAGTGCAGCTTCAACACCTATAATGATGTTGGGGTCACCACCCCATCGAAGGTCAATATCCATGACTATTTGACTCTTCTGGAAGCTCTGGACACGTATACCTGCAGTGGTTGAGAGAATGCATGTAAGCGTACTCAAAATAGTATACATGAAGCAGCTTGACTACACCAGACTTGACAAAGGAGGAGGCATAATTGTCCAGAAATCCAGAAGGGGTACATAAATCCCAAAAGCGCTCCCTAACAACATCCCCATCAATATCATTTCCTTCTACTGCTATTGGCGGAACTGACAGGCTAACAAGCATTCAAAGATAGAACAAACTTTTTTACTACTGAAAACAGCAAATTGCCTCATGACTGCAAAAATCATCCATGAGGAAGCAAACTTGGACAAAGCATTTGAAGTAATTCTGACATTTCAACACACTAAATTCAGAAGTAATATTGATTTAAAATTCCAAAGCTATACACAATTTTACACAAGTTAATCATATAAACCAATTATGTCTTAGATTCTATCACCGCCAATATCAACAATATGTGTCTTGCATGATTAACACTGGAAAAAATCTTCAGAAACAAAGTATCACAAAACCCCTCCATATTAAAGGATCATATGAATGAACAAAAGCAAGTTGTTAAATAATACCTTCTATTTTAGGGGCAACGGTACCAAGAGTGAGTTTAGTGAACTTCATTGAAGTAATTCCAGGAGGACGATATTGTTCCAGAAGGGGTTCAACAGACTCCCTTATTATCAGCTCTGCCGCCTAAGAATAATCCAGAAACACATATCTCTTAAAATCTAAAATTATAATCTTATTTTTTGTAAATAAAGAAAAAAGAAAGAAAAACCTCAAGTGGAAAAAAGGAAAAGCTGAGTCTCTCCTTTTAAATTCTGGGCATAAAATCAGAATATCCGAATTCCCTTTCAGAGCATAAGGAAATTCAGTACATAAAAAGGACCATTGAAACCCATGTGATAAAAAGCTCATAAGAATCATAACACAGTGATCAATGATAGCCCAATATCTAAAAATACCACAACTGCTTTATATTTGGGAGCTGTGCTTATAGTAAAGAACTCATTCCAGAGTTACAGAGTTCATAATAATGTCGCCCTACAAGATTCAAACCAATGGATGGGACTAGAACTTTATTGTATACAGCATAAATTGTTAGCCTTCAATTACTAGGAGAGGCATCTCTTGATTTGAAAAAACATTAGTACATGCCAGTTTACAGCAAATGAGTGAAGAATAATTTAGATAGGGATTTGGTTAGGCAGCCTAAGGCCTGTTATAACATTTACAAATAATAGTTTAAGAACATCTATTTATAAATAATAATAAATAAATAAAACCTATATTGCTGGTTGGAAAGATATGGGATACAATCATATAGCATTAGTTATCTCCAGTTTTGAGCACACACAGCACAAACTAACTGTATTGTACAAACACCACTGCTCTCAACACCTTCCGAGCTCCCACCCTCCCATAGTGTGTAATATGATCACTCAACTGTTAGATCAATGCTTCAATTCAGGGATGCAAAATCATGAATATTCATTAGACTTTGAAAGCCAAATGCATCAACTATCAGCCAAATTCATGTAAGCTAATCATTCAAAAACCTTACCCCCCCCCCCCCCCCAGCCCAGAAAAAGAAAACAGAGGTTTTCATTCATTATCAATTATGATGCATAAAAGAACTTACATCAGCTATATACGGCCACAACTTGTTCAGCTGCTTGTTCAGCCATTTCACCTGAAAAAACATCAAGATAGTACTCCAAATCAACAGAATTTCAATAATTCAGCCTGCTTTCAACCATATAAGTTTTTGTGACTTCTCTTCAATGAAGATCATAATCAATGAAAATATTTTCTATCTTATTAATTTTGCATTTTGATCTTTCTACACTATGTCGATAGGAGTCAAATAATAACATATAATAGAAGCATAAGAAAAAAAAAAAGAAATAACATGACAACTTGCATCTATGTTTAAGAGTAAAAGCAGGCAAAAGAAGATTATCAAAGTAGAACCTGCTCAAAAACAGGAAAAGATATCCACTCCGGAAAACTTTCACCACAAATTTTCTTCAACTCTTCTCTGCCAAGGGAGGCAAGAACCTTAATATCAGCTGCCTGCATGACAATGGAAGCAAATAGAGAATTACTCATATATACAATACCAAAATCCTGACAGCCAAATTTTTTTTAATCCTGAACAACATCGAAGTATAATTCTACTCAAGGAGCATCACCAGTCAAAAGCAGTTCCACTAAGAACCAAAACACAAGTAAATAGCACTGAGACAGCATCATGTCAAAGTTCCCAGTATATATATCATTTAATACCGTATAGATGTAATAAACAGATCCAGGCATAAGTTCAGAACTAAACCATAAGTAAAGCAAACATTCTGACTCATCAGTCAATATTTATCAAGGGTTTCCAGTAAGCTATTAAGGGTAAAGTAATATATCATGCAACCTGAGCTATCACTACTAGAAAGGTGAACTGTAGTTTTAAGCTCTCATTTCATAAAACAATAATCACCACAGAAAACCTTTAGATTTCCTGCCAAGGCAAGGTTTGGGGAAGTATAGACATTCGCAGTTTCAGCCTCTAATCTGTCAAAAACTATACCTAGAATCGACAATCAACATTTTCACGCAGTATGAGTACCAAAGTATTGACATGATAGCAAATTCCTTTCTCTAAAGAGAGTCCCACTATTCATTACTCAGTTGTCAACTACACCATACACATGATCAACTAATCCTCTGAACCTACAATACTCGAAGCAGCCCTCTTTCATCAAAACACAGGCTACCTCTCTAACCCCAATACACAGAACAAATTTAGTACTTTACAGAATATTTATCCAGCTCATAAACCTATCAATGCTCAAAATAAGTGTGCAATTTTAACTTTTGGTATGCAGCACAAGAAATTTTTCATCCTAATCCCACAATTCAATTTTCATAAAAATTAAATAACCATATAGGAAAAACCTCGAATTAGAAAGAAACAAAACAAAACCCAGAAAATATAGAAGGCTAAATGTTCAACCTAAAATCAACAAAAATATTCAGTAAATTTCAAAAACCAAAAACCTAAAAAGAGAGAGAAATTAGTCAAGGAAATGAAATAAAACCTTGGCAATTCGTTTATTGCTTCGATGCTGCATCATCCGATGCCAACCAGCCATCAATCCGATCCCAACTATTACACCCAACATCATACCCGAAATTAAACCCATTTTTCCCACCTATAATTTCCCTGCAAATTCAAAAAACAAAAACCCAGAAAAAAAATCAAGAAACAAACAAAAAATTAAACAAAAAATCAACCAAAGAAACACATCAAACCAAATTAAAAAAAATACCCAGATGAGAAAATAAAAAAATAAAAAAATCTCGAGAAAAAAAAAAGGGTAATCCACAATTACAAAATGAGAGATTAATAAGGAATAATATGAAAAAATCAAATAACGGATCAAAAAGGGTAACTGAAATGGTGAAATAAATGACAGGGTTTTGAGAGTAATTACTGGGAATTAATATAATTGGAAGAAGACAGAAGTTGATGAGATTTATGGGATGATTTCGTTATCAAAGTGGACCTGGAATTATCTGAAAAACTGGGATTTAAAATGGTAGTGAATTTAATTAGTTGATAATCACAACACACTAATTAACCCGCTAAAACGATGAAGTTGGACTTTGTGATTGCCATTAACAATGTTATCACACCCTTAAGACAAAATCGTGGCGTAGCTTCAACCTGCAGGAAAGAAACACCCGGTGTTTGGGAATTGTTTTCAGTAATAAAAAACATGAAAACTGTCACTTTTTTTAATTTTAATTTAATTTTTCTACAAGAAGTATTTGAATTATCTATTGTAGTGTCTTAAAAATCCACTTTTACAAATGTTTTTTTGGATTAACATGTCGAGTAAAAGGGTTTATTAATTTATTTATCAAGAGAAAAAAAAATAGTTTTATTTTCTTTTGGGTTGAAATGGTTAAAACATAAATGTGTAGTTATCTTTAATCACAAATTCTTATATATGGCTAGTCATACTGTGTAATAAGCTTTTACGGGAGTTAATTCGTCAGTGTTACAAGAGTTACTTGGCTAGTATTATAAGGGTTCCGGTCAATATTACAAGGGTTATTTGATTAGTATTATAAGAGTTATTTTGTTCTTTTACAATCAACCACGTGGTAAATGTGCTGATCTTTAATTGGTTAAGTTCGGGTTATTTGATAATTTGATATATTTGTTTTAGGATTTGAAGTTCTTTTAATTGTGAGCTTCACTTAACTTTTGTTTATTTTAAGTTGGGTTTGGTTTGATCGTTTTATCATTTTGTGTACATTTTAGGTCATTTTGTTGAATGTGAAGAAGGGTCAGCCCAATCGGTTTTATGTATATAGTATGTGACTTGCCCCTAAACTATTAGTTTTTATACTACGTATTTAAATAAATTTGGGCACTCGATCTAATTTAACCTAGTTATATTTTTTAATGTTTTTATTTTGTAAAAAATACACATATTTTGTAGTATTACTCTATGATCATATTCATATTGTCTAATTTTTCTTATTTTGTCATAAATATGTACCAATCGAAGATTCACCTAATTTATGATCAACTTACATGCGAATCATTCTACTTCTACCCACAACGCATATCCATTTCATACATGTGTATGTGCTTAATCGAATCTGTCAATTGATAAGGTAGTGCATTGATTGTTAGTACCCTTAATGGCCTAAATGAAAACTATATATATTACAAAATTGTAGGTTACAAATTAAAATTGATAAGGTGGTCGCCACCACCGCTTCCGTCGATATCAGCTCTGAAGTAGCCCCTTCATCTTAATCTCTCTTTAGTTTTGAAGGATGATTACCGAAAAGTGGAAATTTAACAAGATTTTTCAAAATTTGATTTTTGTATCATGCATGTCGACTTTAATATTATGGGTTTTTCCTTTGATTTTGTTTTCTATGCTTCAATTCACTTCAATTTGTGGTTGGTTGGAATTCTAGGGTTCCAGGCGGTGGATTTTGAATAGTCATGGTTCTACCGACTTCGCCGCCTTCACCGTCACCACCGTCGCCTCCACCGCCATCGGCTTCGCTGCTCGGCCTTCGTTTGATTGACGACAAACTAACCTCTTTGGGTCATAATGTTTTACAGTATTTATTTTTACTTTAGTTTAGCTTCCTATGGAAGCCTTTTGTATAGCTTATATGAGAAGCTTTAGCTTGTATTTAATTTTTTTTTTTTTTTATTTTTATCCTAATCTATTAGTCCAAACCTGTGATAGGTAGACTTTTAGATTTTAATGATCCTTTCCTGTGATAGGAGGATTATTAAACCGTGTATTTTACCTTTCAAAAAAAAAAGTTTAAGTATAAAAAAACTCTTATACTTCGTATGTACAGTACGTAGTATATATTTCGTTGTGTCACTTAAAAATATTTCTAGATCCGATATTGTATAGACGCTAATGCTATTCTACTCGGAGTGGTTTTTTTTTTTTAATTTTATTTTATTTTATCCAACATTATATAGATGCTAATGCTATTCTACTCTTTTTTTTTATTATTATTTTTATTTTTATTCTACTCGTAGTTTAATCCAAAGAGGTATCACACTATCACATCAGGAAAATAATTAAAGTATACAAGTGTCTCCCGCCAACAATAATTTCATGGCTCCTTACCGACATCTAAATCCTAAAACTACCCCTCAAAATTGGCCTTCGATTATGGGCTTGCTTCAACCATTAAATATAACAAAGCTCAAACCCAAAACAATAAGACAAGCCCAAATCACAGCAACTCCAAATATTCCATCAGCTAGCCTCTCTACTCCGTTGTACATGCTTTCTCCTTGAAAAGCCGGGGGAGGCTCCGCCATTGGTGGAGGAGTGTACAGTGGAGGTGGAGGTTGATTAAGGCTTGGGGGTAGGCCCAACCCTTGACCAACCTGAATGTCAAACCTCATGCCGTGTTGGCATTGAACCCCATCCTCGGCATCAGAGAAGAAGTAGTTGGGGCCCACTTTAGTCAGTGGCACGGAGATGGTCAATGGCTGATCAAACTTGGTGGCACCCGAGTTGAAGACGAGGGTGTCATTGTCGGAAGAGTCATCGGAGGTACAGTTGTTGTAAGTATTAGAATTGTACGTTTGGACCACTGTTTGATTAGTGTTGGTATTGAAAACTGCCAAAAAAAAATAAAGTGTGGGAAAGTTTGTTAGTGTTGTGCAAATTGAAATGATTGTAACAGTAAATTTTCCCGGGTTAAACACAAGGAAAGAAAATGATAGGGATATCCAAGTATTTACATTTGGACACTTTGTTAACCACTACTTTTAATGATTATTAGGAATTTAAGATTGAATGACAATCATAATTTATACGAAATATATTTTTCAAAAAACTTGTTTTTTATTTTTTTTCTTATAAATTTTCAGTTATGGTTTACTTATTTTGACATTTTGGCACCTTTTTTTTATTTTTTTATTTTTTTTATTTTAAATTTTAGTTATTTACTACAAATCTACAATTGTCAATTTATCAAGACGTATTTCATGACAAAATACAAAATACATGTTGCATTCTTATTAGTTTGTAAAATACTTGTCATATCAAAAAAATTAATTCATGATAATGAAGGATAGAGTAGGAATTATTTCAAAACACCTTATAATACACTGATTCGATTCTAAAGCTACAAATTCGTACTTTATAAAAAGGACGAGTATTATACATAGAAAAAATATTCAAAATCAAGGTTACTTATTCATTTCCTATTCATTTACTCCTCTATGAGTATTTATTTTGATCAAATGAGATAAAAGTATATTATTAATGTTTTATCTTCCTTATTTTTAGCTGTATATCCGAGAACAAGTGAAAAGACTACTTTAGTACGAACACTAGAAAAACCATAAATATCAATTGATGAGAACGAGGAATAAGTCAAGTGGTTAGAGCTTTCTTCCCAATTTAAAGAAATTTTGGGATCGATTCTCCCTCTTTCTACCCTTATGTCTTTCTAAACACAAAAAAAAAAAAAAAAAATTAACATTAACTGACATCGGACTTATACCACATTTGGGCCATAAAAAAAATACTTCCCTATGAGCCCAATACATACAGCCGCTTCCCTCCCCAAAAAAAAAACAACCGTAACTAGCGCATCTGCGCACATTTATTCCGTAAAATATCTACTAATTAAATTCAAACACGTAACTTTCCTCAAAAAAAAAAAAAAAAAAAAAAAAAAAAAAAAAAAAAAATCAACAAGATTGAGATTAATTCTACTCCGTAATTTACAATTTGAGTTAACTCAATCAATAGCAACATTGCATTTGAATGTGATTCTCAATTAAAAATTAACGATTCCAAAATTACATTTTTCGAACAATAAAAAATTAATTGCAAAAAAAAAAAAAAAAAAAAAAAAAAAAAAAAAAAGGAGATGTTCCTTCGGGGACATCTGATAAAAAAAAGGAGATGAGATGAGAAGAACTTACTAAGATAATCGCCTAGGTTGAAGGTTTGAGTGGCAGCCCAAACGGAGTAATTAGTAGAAGATATACTGGAAGTACTATTAAAATACCAACCCGATGGCGGCGGTCCTCCCACCGTGTGATTGGTGTAACTTACGGCGGATGTTACACCAATCGCGGCGGTTATAACAGCTAGATATGCAGCCATTGCCGCCGCTTTGGTCGACATTTGTCTGTTTTACTCTTGTTTAGTTTATGTGGATGGTTAAGATTAATTTGAGTGAAGCTTATCGCTGTAGGATGGTTGTTGAGTAGGAGTAGTATATTTGGAAATTGGTAAGAAAGGGAAAGGAAAGAACGTGGGGGATGACCACTGCTGCACTTTTGGCATGTGACTTGGAGATGGGTATACTCGTTCCGTTCTTTTTTGAAAGGACTTCATTATTGGTATGTGAATTGGGGGACGAGTGTACTCTCTTCGTTCTTTCATGTTTATTTTTAAAGGAACTTAATTATTGGTATCGTTGATTTATGTAATTGATTGATTCATTAGTGAGAATTGAGCAAACAGGACAATTATATGTTTCCTATTGGTTGTATTATGAAAATGTTGCAAAATCTAGGGGCATTGAAATTAGAAATTGAAGGAGTCAAACATACCCTTTTTTTTTTTAATGACAAAACACTTTACACAACTCCATGTATCATACATTCATACTCTGTAACATAACTAATATCACTCACAACATAGTTTTCAATTGTTATACCTCATCCAGCAAATTTAAAATGCATGATTAACACTTCTCTATTATCAAAGACTGTTAAAAAATTTCAAACATGAATTAATCTATAATGGAGAACACAATAATTAAACATTCACTAGTAGAAAAACTGCTATTTATAACTGACGAAATTGACTTTTAGTAACTGACATTGTTGGTTGCTATTGCCACCATTACAACTAGTGAAAATTATTCGTAACCGGCTAATATTAGTTACTAATAATGTACTATTCGTAACTGGCTTAACCTAACACCAGTTACAAATAGTCTATTTTCCAAGTTAAAAAGCATATTATTCGTAAATGGCGTTCAATTACGCCGGTTACAAATAGAGTATTATTTGTAACTGGCATAGCCTAACACCAGTTACGAATAGGGCTTTTTTTTTAAAAAAAAAATAAATAAATAAAATAGAAGCAGTAGTAAATTCCTCTACTGCCAACACTTGTACACTACATTTTTTTTTTTTAATGTGAAGACCATAAATTTAATAAAATACAATAATTATCAATCTAACCAATATAAGGCCAAATTTAAGCGACATCACATATACATCATCAACTCTACAATAATACTGAATTGATGTACTTGTAAATTACAAACATGTCTCTCACAATTCACAATAAATAATACTCTATAACTAAAAAAGCTAATTAGTTAAATGATACAATGGTCAACTTTCAAATTTTGACGATTTTGTCTATGTCAGCTTCAAATTATTTTCAACTGTAAAGGACATGTCATCCTAAAAGAATAGAGTGATAAGAGATGTACAATAAACTAACAAAATATATAGAATGTCTTGTAGAAATCATCCTCTCGTAAGCTCGTTCACCTTTTTGAAGGTGCTTGTATAATAAGCTTGAAATATTATTGACTCCTGTATCCAAAATCCACCACCTGCCAAATGGTTACCTCATAGACTAATTTCAAAGAATCTCAAGAATCGTAGCTCATGGGAAATCTTAAAAAGTTCTAACAATAAAAACAAATTGATTTCTTAACTTTTTGAATCTTCAGAACATTACAAGGCCAATGCAGGGAACTATAAAATGAAATTAATCAAGTTAGATGGGAGGGAGGGAACTCCACAAATGCATCCAACAAAGACAACACATAATAAGTTCTACCAAGAGCTATAATGATAAGGAATTTGAGAGCCTAACCCCAAAGAGTATTCACCTCAGTAAGAGAAAATTATTGAAATAAGAAAGATGCAACATAAAACTACACAAGTATATGCTCCAAATGATAGGGTCTAACCTCAATATCTCAAGATACAGAGCGCAAAGTATCCTATGAAACCACCAAATTTCAACTATAAAGGACAAGTCATCCTAGAAGAAAGAGTTTTCTTAGCAATTTAACAAACTTGTTACTGTAAAAAAAATGAGGTTATAAAGGACATGTCATCTTACTGTTCTCATGGGAACCTAGAAAGGCAACAGATTAGAAACTCTTTTACTCGGCACATTTTTTATTAAACAAAGAAATCATTATAGGGAATTTACCTCTTTAGGTAGATTCACAACATGAATTATTTATTCTCCACTTCCTGCATTTGTCACACTGCACCCATTCATTATCAAGTTTGCATCGAGCATGGCCTTTTTTCTGACACAAATACAAACATAAACTAAGGACATCAAGTTATACGACTTAAACTGCTGAAAATTCTCATTGGCTTTCAAACACCACTATTTGTCTATGCATACCTTCAACAATATAGCCAGTTAAAGATTGACATAATTACTACTACCGTTTCTTATTATTTACAACAAATTAAGGATTATTATTTGTGAAACGAAGGTAGTATAATATATCAACTTAAAGTAACCTGAAATTAGCATCAACAATCCCATTTAAAAAAAAATTTAACATTAAGAATAGTATCTAACCAATTTGTCTAGTCAATTGCTAATCCAGCAAAGTAATTCTTCTTAGCTCTTACTACAGACCAATTGACCACATAGAATCTCACCAGATAATACTATACCAGACAATAAAGGGGCAAAATAAACTTGGTTCACAATCTTAAAATATGCAACATTACCAACAACAAAAAAAAAAAAAAAAAAAAAAAAGATTATCAAAATTTCTAAATGATTATGTAATAACTCTTTTTCCAATGAGCCTTAAGCACCGTGTCAAATGATCATTCCTGTAATAATTAGCCTAAAGCATAATAAAAAAATTCCCATGGTGATTTTAGCAAGTTTCACATCTTTCTTAGACTTAGTAAATAAAGTGACAGTTCTATACCTATCAAGTAGTATATATCTAATAAATTTCCCAAGGTGTCATGGTGATTTTAGCATGTTACAAATCACATAGGTTTGATCCTTTGCAACAACGTTTTTTGTTCTAGAGCAGCCCTGCTCCACAAGTGATGGATCAAAACCAGTACCAGCAACACTGCTACCTAAAATTTCATGCAATTGATATGAAAGACATGATTAATTAATATAATGCTAAGATTAAGGTTGGCAAACAATGCTTATGATATGAATATTGACATAGGGGAGCAACTAGCTTCCCTAAACCGATCTAATAAGAAAGTTAACCGAAAATTGACGTAGATATAACTTTATCATCAAGAGTTTTTAATTATTATATAATTCCATAATTTTGAATATTAATACTTAAGGAGACTGATTGAAAAACAAATAAAATGGCGCAAATACAAAGCACATGCAGAGTAAAGGGAGCTTCTATGTAAAAAGGAGCTGTTTCGGGTGAAAACAATCGGACCTTTGGATGGGCCCTTTTTTAGGGTTAAATACTGAACTCGGTCCAAGTTATGACTGGGCCGAGGGTTTCCTGCATAGTGAACACACGTAAAACTGGCCTCAGGGGTTGTGTCGAGGAAGGCCCCTCCAATGCCAAAGTCAGTACAGTGTCAGAGAGAGAAATTTATGCAAGAGAATTAATTGCTTGAGGCTTAATGTGGATCAATGTAAAGAAAGACAATTGAAGGCTTTTATACCTTGCTTGATGGATGAATGGGCCTTGAGATCAAGTGGGCTTGCCACGTTGACTAGACCATTGACTGACTTAGCATTTGGACTGGAGAGTTGAACTTTGCTTTTGGGTTTTTGTAATTAAAACATTTGAACTGGCCAATTAGAGAGTGAATTGGACCCAAACAACTTGCCCCCCAGACCCGATTTGGAAGCATGATGGGTCGGGTTTTGACTTGCAAAATGGAGGGAAGTAAATGGTTTAATTAAAATTTGAATCTAGGTAGTTATTGAGGCAATAACAGCCATTTAGAGAGTAATTAGGAAAGTTGGAAGGTTAGTGGGTGTTAGGTTTACAGTGAATTCAAACTAGAAAACACTTAATAAAACGTGTGGGACAAAACCTAAGTAATATGATCACACTAACGATGTAATGTAATTCAAACAAACACAACCAAGGTGTTACAATCAAGTATTAGAATATCAAAGAAATTACAGAAAATTTCTAAAAGAAACACTAATATGAAGGCTTAAATACTTGCCTAAACTCCAAGCCAATCAACCAAGCATGAACATGAGAACTGCAACGTCCCTTGAGACTATGATCTTGATACACTGTCAAAGGCGTATGAATACTTTTCTAAAGGGATTAATTTCCCCCACACGATGCTTGGGTTAATCCGGAAATTCCCTTTGAGATACAATTGACAGCACTTTCCGTCCTTAGCACAAAGAATCGAAAACCGATGGATGATTCACAAAGAAGGATAAAATCAAGAGGTTTTTCTCTAAATAGTTTGCAAGAAAATTTTGAGAAAAATAGAGAATTCTTGGGGAGAAGATGAGAAAATAATGTTCTGTTTTTCTTTCGAAAAAGAAACTCATTACATATAAAATAGAATCAACCGTCGTATAAAACCGCAAAACGGCACGAAGAGCGGGCGCGAGCAAAGAGGCGCGGGCGCGCCACCACAGCAGCGCGGGCGCGCCACCACAGCAGCGCGGGCGCGCCACCTGCCCGCGCGGGCGCGCCTCCTTCTTTGCCCAAAAACTCGATTTTTCCAGAAAGTTAGCGCGCTTTTAGCGCGGTTTTGGGCGCGGGTCGCGCCATGCCATGACGTGGGCGCGCCTCCAAACTTTTCCAGATTTTCCAGAAACTTGTCGCTGTTTATGCGCGGTTTTGTCGCGGGTCGCGCCTATCTGGCGCGACCGCGATTCAGTAGAGCGAACGCTCCACTTCGACACTCTAAATTATCAACAGTGGGTAGTTAATTAGGGAAGTGTTTAACGGTTGCATTGAAGTGGAGTTAGTGGGGGTTTTAGTGGCACGGACTCCTAGAATTCTGCTTCTTGAGAACCTTTTTAAGCCACTCGTCCCACCCTCTCTCATCATTTCTTGCAAATCTTCTTCCGTTCTTCGCTAATCGACCCTCGACAAAACGCTTTTCTTTTTCCGAAGATACTCTGCATTTCTGGACCTGAAGCCAAAGTTCGTTACTCCGAGTTTGTAGATCGGCGAATTCTGCTTCCGATAAAGGTAATTTCTCCCGAAGATTCTTCGGATTTCTTAAATTTTTTAAGGCATCACCTTTTTTCTCGATTTCTCGATTTTTCGGATAGAAATGGCTCAAAGACTGAGGGAAGAGACCAGTAGTCGCTGAAGAGGAAGAGGAAATTCCTCAATTGTTTCCTCGGCGCAATCGATCACTTGGGCTGATGCCGCCTTTGAGCAATCGAACCGGGGCTTCTTCAAGCGAGGCTCCCATTGCTGCGGTGCCGTTGACGTCGGTGCCTTTTCGAGGCTCGGAAGAGGCTAGCACCTCCAACAATGGTTCGGCAACTAGACCTCAGGAGTTGCCTGGGGCCACAGAGTGGGATAACCCCCCGCGAAAACTATGGGATGATGACCACCACTCCGTATGACTAGTGGGTCAACAAGAGTGCTCTCCATTGCCTAACCGAGCAAATAGAAGTTTTCTATGGCATTATGGAAAGGATGGGTACTGGTGCCGAATGCCCACCGCTGAGGAAAAAATTCATCGGCCCC